AATTTAGGGATATAGGGGTGTCTGGATGTAGGGGTTGAGGGGTATAGGGGTGTGGGGATGTAGGAATATAGGGATACAGGGATGTAGGGGTGTGCGGATGTAGGAATATAGGGATATAGGGGTGTCTGGATGTAGGGATATAGGGATGTAGGGGTGTCTGTATGTGTAGATATATAAGGGTGTAGGGGTGTGTGGATGTAGGAATATAGGGGTGTAGGGGTGTGTGGATGTAGGGGTGTGTGGATGTAGGGGTGTAAGGATGTAGGGGTGTGTGGATGTAGGGGTGTAGGGATGTAGGAGTGTAGGGATGCTTTAACAAATAACCCTGGAGATGTCCTCCCCCGCTCCCCTCCTCTCTCTCAGCTGTACAAGAAGTTCAAGATGCCTCTTCCCTCCAAATCCATGGGCCGGGGCCGCGACTGGAATGTCGACCTCGTCCCCAAATTCCTCATGGCCAACGGTAGGAGCCTCCAGCTGGTGGGGGCGGGGATACGTGACCTCTGGCCGGCTGTGCGACACCCCCTCTCACACCTGGACACAGACAACGAGCCTCTCGGACCCTGTGCGCTCTGGGTGGCTGAGCAGCAGAGCAGAATCGTACACACCTGGCCCAACAGGACGTGGCACCCTGTTCCCTGACCGCCCCCTCCCCTCATACCACTGCCCGCCGAATCTGCCCAGTCCACAGCTCCCTGGACCACCCACAGCGACTGCCCACACCAGGCACTTTAACCCTGCAACACAACCCACTGCAACATGTCCAGCACCACACGCTCAGAGGACATGGTGTCTGTCCAGCAAGCCTGTTGACTGCATCTCGTGCGGAAACTTCCTGGAGACAGGAGGAAGACTGTCCGGGCTGTGAGGATCAATGATCCCTCCCGACCGACAGTTCCCCGTTTCACCTCTAAGGGCCAGGATCTTTCCGACCTCTCCCTCTGCGTCCTCGCTCAGGGGTTTCGGAAACCCTCTTGCAGGAAGACACCCAAAAACCAAAGTGCCCCTGAGACCTGGATCACACCCCCCTCCCTCCTCTCAACAACAGACTCGTCTCCTTCGCTCAGATCCCGCCCTTCCGCCCCCCTCCTCCCGTTCTCCCTTCTCCCCTGCTCTGTCCTCTGTCCCTTCCCCCTCTCCCTCGCCCCCGCAGAAGCTCCCCATCCGAAACGTTGTGCTGCCGTTCTTCCCCTACCTGCGCCAGTTCCTTTGCAGCCAGCGCAGGCCGACGCAGCCGTGTGCAGGGGTGCCGTGTGCACGGCGGTGTGCAGCCAGCCTCTGCGCTGTGTAGCGGTGTGTAGTGGTGTGTAGCGGTGTGTAGCGGTGTGTAGCGGTCTGCAGGAGCTCTGGCAGGCGCTGACAAGGTCAACCCAGCAGGCTTCTTCAGAACCAAAAGTGAAATATGAAACAAAGGAGACAGGCGGGAACTACGGGGAAGGGCACTTAGAACTGAGCACAGGAGGCACTTCTTTACACAAAGGGTGGTGGGAGCGTGGAACAAGCTGGGCAGCCATGGTTTTGGAGCCGATTCCCTGGTCC